CAACGCACTCAACTAGTTATTAACAACGATAACATTGTGTCGAATCACTTTGAAAGTCGAAGGTGAAACGGAGAACAATTAAATTCGAGTTTCAAAAAATACGTAAATACAAGATGTTTTCAAAATGGTAAATAGGGTGAATTTATATGATTTATTTTTATTTTTTTGTCACTTCATTTTCGAAAAAATTGAGTTGGAATAATTTTGAAATTTGTTCATGGCTCATAAAATGATGTATGCAACTTTTCATTACTTTGGAAATTAATGAATGTTATTAAAAGAATGAAACTTATTAATACTACTAAAATTTATTATTAGTCATTCTAACATTATTGTTTAATTTTAAATGTTATGTTACATGTAATATTAATGTTTAATGTGATGAATTTTGTCAATAATAAGAATATAAGTAACAAACCTCATAAAGTATTATAAAGTAATAAATCTATTTTAGCGATATTAATAATTATGTCTGTTGATTTATATTTATACTGTGTATATTTATTCACAACTAAAAAATTTGTTGATTTTATCATTTTTTACATTGCGAACAAACTTTTTTACAAATACTTGAAACATGCTTAAATTCAATTTTCTTTAAAATAAAGTCAGAAATAAATTTTATTTTACAATTTTTACTTATTTTTCCATGTTGTTTCAGCCATTTTGTATCATTTCAAAAATACCCCGTATAAACAATGCAAACAAAACAGATGTACAGAAAAATTTTAATAAAATGAATTTCAGACCGTAAATGAACGATGGTTAGATAAATTATGAATCAGATAAATATTAAACAAGAACATAGAAGCGGAAAAGACAAAGTTGGTGAAAACAATAAAGAGGAGAAAATAATAGACCGGTAGTTTTAGTGTGAAATACAGTTTTAGTGTGGATAATTGTTAAACCTTTCATCGTAAAAGTTTTCCTGCAACGGATCGTTACGTAAAGCATTGTACCGATCAAGCAAAAACTCTTGATGCGTGTAAAAGACTTTTCCGCAACAACTGATCCACATTGCAAAGCAAAGGTAGGTGCAACTTCTAACGGAATGCCGTGGATACCACCCACGACCGAGATCGCTAACATTTCACATATAGCCGTTATCCAAGGGTAATTTTCCCAACGTGGGAATCTGCGACCTTTCTATATTCACGATTGATCTTAACTGAATGGTGAGAAAAGATACTTAATCATTTTTGCTACAAATCAAGGTTTATTGTAGAAATTTGGGGAGATCTAATCAAACTAAACGATTGAAGATCTAATTTTACTGCAGATTGTGCGATAATTTTATGAGTCTATAAAAATTAAAATGCTATACTATACGTAAATAAAAATTAATTATTGAAGGAATCAGTAGAATTGACAATTTTATTAAATTAAACTTTGAATGCAAAATTAACAATTTTGAGTTTTAATACGTTAATTGACCTGATGGGATGTGAAACTTTTAATATAGAATTTTTAGCTTTCAATAATACCCTGTTCAAATTTAAGATAGTTTTATTATGTAGTTTATTAATTTTATCATGATTAACCCTTTGTACTCGAAAGTATTTTTGCCATTAACAGACAGCAACTCAAAACTTTTTAGTTGAAAAGTTTAGCTAATTCTTTTGCAGTTATTCTCTCATATTATTTGCACTTGGCTGCTTCATTATGTTTATGCATTGTATGTGTAATACTACAGATCTAGTCAAATAAAACTTATTTATTATTGCAAAATATTCTTATTATACTTATTATTTATGAGTGAGTCATATTTCGAATGGAAAGGGTTAATTCTATTATCTAAATTAAAATACATGTTCATATTACATGTATGTGAACATAGAATATACAAGGCACAAACATAAAAAAATATTTTCTTAAAACTTAAATACAAATTAAAAACATATTGACTGAACAATGAAATATAGACTTGAGATAGACCTAAAAATTTACCATCTCACTATTTTATATTTAAGATGATCAAAATAATTAATGATGCATAATAAGCTGGTTAATCTTTAATTTTCTTCATATTAAATTCACGTTTTGTTTCTAACTTATCATTTTACCAAGTTACTTGTTTTTACTTATTTTACTTATAACATTATTTTTCGTGAACGCGTATGTTTATTTTTTTAATATGATCTTAAATAAATTTTTGAAAAAGGTGTAAAAGACTTAACAATTTAATATAATCGAGCTATTAGTTGTGCTAACAAGAAAAGAATACATGATACTTAACGTGGGAATGTATGTAGTTAGAGTTTATTGCTTCTGGAAGAGAGGACGTAGAACCTTAAAAGTGAAAATAGAAATTTAATTGATACGAATAAATTTGAGTTCTGACATTATACGTACAGAGAAACGTGTAAATTACTGAATGTATTGTATCATTTAGCGATTGAAATTCTTTTTGTACTAATTAGTTGATTCACTGTTTATTCGATAATTCTTCGCTGCCTTCTTATAGAATAAACGAAGTTTATATTAATATATTTATATTGCAGAAGTTTATGTTATTCGTGTTGCAATAGAAATTTATATTATTGGATTTATATTGCGAAATATGTGTATATTATTACATTTATGTTTACAATAATTATGTTATTATATTTATATTGTGCATTATATTATTCGCTATATTATAGTATGTTATTGTTATTATTATATATTGTATTAGCAAAAACCGGCCAATATTTATTGACTTCCGTATTGTATAAAAATGGATTACCTGTATATAACCTGGAATCTATAATTTGTTGTAGAAAGATGTTAGAAAATGAAATACAGCTAATATTCAAACTAGATCAATGTATTACTAGGATCACAGGAGCAAAAGTTGAGATATGGAGATTTTGAAATTTTGGAATTTGGAAACTTAGAAGTTTGACAATTTGGAGATCTAGAAATATAGGAATTTAATCATTTGGGGATTTGACAGTTGGGGAATTGGAAATTTGGGAATTTAGGAATTCAGGAATTCAGGAATTCAGGAATTTGAGAAGTTGGGAATTTAGGAATTTGAGAAGTTAGGAATTTGGGAATTTGAGAATTTGAGAATTTGGGGATTTGGAGATTTGAGAATTTGGGGATTTGGAGATTTGGAAACTTGGAAATTTGGGAATTTGAGAATTTGAAAATTTAGGAACTTGGGAATTTGAGAATTTGGAAATTTGGTGATTTGGAGATTTGGAAACTTGGAAATTTGAGAATCTGAGGATTTGAAAATTTGGGAATTTAGGAATTTGGAAATTTGGGATTTTGGGAATTTGGGAATTTGGGAATTTGGGGATTTGGAGATTTGGAAACTTGGAAACTTGGAAATGTGGCAATTTGAGTATTTGAGAATTTGGGAATTTAGGAATTTAGGTATTTGGAAATTTGCGAATTTAGGAATTTAGTAATTTAGTAATTTAGGAAGTTAAGAATTTAGGAATTTAGGAATTTAGGAATTTAGGAATTATTACATTTGTTTACAATATTTATAGTATTATTATATTTGTATTATACATTATATTATTCGCTACATTATAGTATATTATTGTTATCATTATATATTATACCAGCAAAACCCAATATTTATTGACTTCCGTATACATAAAAATGGATTATCTGTATATATTCTAGAATCTATAATTCGTTGCAGAAAGATGTTGAAAAATGAAAGATAGCTGTTTATTTGTACATTTACAAATACTGTTTATTTGTACATTTATATTGCAAAAAGGAAAAGTAACTGTTTCAATAATGAATGTAACAGAATCGTAATTGTAAAGAAAAATTCTACTCAAAGTAGAACTTTTAATTCGTAACTTCTTTCCGGAAGTAAAGATACACGGTAGAAAGCTTTATATAAGGAAAAATCATGCCTTTGATGTCACATTTTGTCTCTATGCACTTTCATCGTTGCGAGCACTTATTATTTCGTAACAATCGCTATTTCAAACGGAGTCAATCGGAATTTCACTGACCACCATTTCAGTTCTACAAGAAACATCCATAATTTATGTAAGATTTTTACATAAATCTACGGCGCCAAAGAAACTTTAAAATAGAATTAAAAAGATAAAGAAAAGTTCAATGAAATCTTATAAAAACTAAAAAAAAAATTAAATCTGAAAATCCTATATAATTTAATGCTAATACTATCAAATAAATAACAAGATATAGTTAATCAATATAAAACATGCATTCCACGTATTAATTATTATATACGCAAAATATATGAATAAATAATAATTATTATAGGAAAAACTAAATTAGATAATAATTCACTCATAGACTCTCAACAACAAACACATTTAATAATAAAGCAATATTTAACTATTTAATAATATTTTAACATATTTAACCAAATAGGTTTTCATAATATATTTCAGTACTATTTTATGATGTTTAACTATTTATAAATTAATCATTTAACATTTAGAAAGTTTTAATTGTTATGAAAAATAACAATGTTTTACATAAATGACACTGTTTCAACCGATGCAAAAATGTTAATATGACTGCTTTATTAATTTATAATACACTTAACAATATTTTATACTATACTTTAAATGTATATTTAATTTTTAAAAAATTTAAATTGCTATAAGAGAAAACACAACATTGCTTGACATAAGCGACGCACTATCAACTAAAACAAAAATATTAATACGATTCCTTTATTTATAAAAAAATATTTCCTGACATCTTCTGCTAAGTAGCATGACTGTGCTACTCATTTACTGAAATATTGCAGTGTCCCATATTAAGTAGTGCTCCACATCAGGTACAGTTACCCTATTAAAGGTTGAGCGTACGAATCAGTGCAATCAGAATGAAATGATAATAATCCAAGAAACGAACAATGCGAACGAATCGGAATAAAAGATGAAAAGAAAAAGAAATTCTTTGTACAGGAAATATGTATGTATGTAGATGGTTCCGGGTTCATGACTGTGGGACGACTCTGGTCACGCGATTCACGCGGTCGGATAATAATTAACCGTAAGAAAACGAACCTTCTTCTCGAAGGGCTGCAGTCTCGAGGAAGTCGCGATGAGAGTCGTTAACGAACCTATGCTTCTGATTACGGTTTTAGCGCATACTGTATAACCTGTAAATCAAAAAGTACGGCAAAGAAAACGCGTTGATAATTATTCCATTTCCTTGGGTATAACGAGGATGCATATATTGTATCTTTATTTTGATGATAATTGACAGGAAAATTAATATACTTCCGATGATATTGTATAGATCAGGGTGTTGGGGGTTTACTTTTGATAAGGATAACTTAAGGGGACCTCTTACCATTAATATGTAAATTTGAAAATTTGAAAATTCTCAAACTCCTGAATTTATGGATTCTCAAATTCCTAGGCAATCAAATTTACAAATTTTCACACTTTCAACCTTTCAAACTCTCAAACTCCCAAAACTCTAAAGTTCTCAAACTCTCAAACTCTCAAACTCTCAAACACTCAAATTCTCAAGCTCTCAAACTCTCAAACTCACAAACTCTCAAGCTCTCAAACTCTCAAACTCGCAAATTCTCAAACTCACAAACTCCCAAATTCTCAAACTCCAAAATTCTCAAGTTCCCAAATTTTCCAATTCTCAAACTCTAAAGTTTTCAAACTCTTAAATTCTCAAACACTCAAATTCTCACGCTCTCAAACTCCTAAATTCTCAAACTCACAAACTCCCAAACTCCCAAATTCTCAAACTCAAAAATTCTCAAGCTCCCAAATTTTCCAATTCTCAAACTCTCAAACTCTCAAACTTACAAACTCCAAAATTCTCAAGCTCCCAAATTTTCCAATTCTCAAACTCCAAAATTCTCAAGCTCCCAAATTTTCCAATTCTCAAACTCCAAAATTCTCAAGCTCCCAAATTTTCCAATTCTCAAACTCACAAACTCTTAAACTCTCAAACACTCAAATTCTCAAACACAAAAATTCTGAAATTCTGAAAACATGAAATCATTAAATTCTCAAATTCCTAAATTCAAAAATTTCCAAAAGCTAATAATCCAGAATTTCTTAATTTCAACAATTTTTTATTTTCAAATTTCTAAATCTCCAAATGTACCAAATTCTCAATTTCCATATTAACAGATTTCTGGATGCACAAATTCTCAAATTTTCAACCTACTAACTTTTGAAATTTGTAACTTTTCAAACATCCAAACCTCAAAATTCTTTAATTTGTATATGTTCGAATTTCCAAGTCCCTAAACTAATAAATCTCCAAAGTCAAACTTGTAAATCTGCAGATTTACAAAGCCCCAAAAAGTCTCAAATTTTTTAATTTCTGCATCGTAAAATTCAAGGAGCTCGAAATTGTAAATCGTCAAATTATTATAAAAATAAGTATTTTAATAAATTGTAATAAATTACTATTTTTATTTACACCTTCATACTGATCTTTATCATACTCTTCCTTTTTATATTAAAAACTTATTAAAAATTAAAATTATTTATTCGTCCTTGATAATCATTGCATCCATAAATTGCATAATTATGTAGAGTAAGTATTTATAAAACAGGAAACAGTAATATTTACCATTTTTAATTTATGATTCTATCGAATGCAATCTTTAATACTTCAGGGCAGAAAATATTATCATGTATTATTCAAAAATGCATTTGAAATTCGTTGTATAACGCAACTTTACAGAGGTTTGAAATTATTCGTTTTCAAGTAAAAGGTAATCGCATTTTCTTCAGAGTATGAAAAATGATAAATATTCACGATATAACAATCGAAACTTTTCTTTATTAATTATGCAATCCATCGCGATAATGATACCCTATTCGTACCGGTCTTAACGATTGAATGTATAAAATGCACATAAATAATATTGCATGCACGGTGTTTTGCATCATGTTTTGTATAAAATATTGCATACCGTATTTTATCTGTGTGGAATTCAATTTTGTAAGAGAAAGTGATCGTGAATCTTTTGCACTACATTAATAACGCTAAAATAGAAAATAAAAAATTGGAGATATAACTATTATGATCAATAACTGACAATTATTGTACGCTAGTTAATGAAATTAAACAAAATATCTATACACTGTTCAAATTTCTGCTATAAACCGTATAATACTTATACACAACATGAGCCACCAATATATGCGTATCTGTCAAATATTTTTAATGCGTATAATATTTTTAAACGAACAGGTACTTACGTTACAGAGAAATCGCTTGAACTCGTCTATTTACTGCATCACCATATTTTTATACACTGAATAAACACATATTTTAAAAAAACACACACGAATTTCATAGAATTTGTTAAAACTAATCAGAGAAATAAACACGTACACCCGACAAGAACAAACGTGTTCTCACAACTGAGGAACGTTGAAATCGGCGGGAAATTTTGATTATGCCCTCTACAATTCGTGCTGGAAACTAACGAACAAAATTAAAACACTAACTTCATGCATACTAAATTAAATTCAAATTAAACGTAAAATAGATGTATAAAAGGAAAAATAAAAGCAAAAAGAAAGTTAAGAATTTAATTATTTTTAATTTAAAATTGCAAAATTAAATTTCAACAAAATCCATAAAAAATTAAGTTTCATGTTTGAAATTTAATTTTTTATGAATTTTGTTAAAACTTAATGAAAAATGAAATTAATAATTTTTATTATTGAATAACGGAAAATTAAATACTATATATTCCACATTATGTAACTAAAAATACAATTAACAAAAAAGTTTAAAATAATATGGAAATTCAAATTATATCACTAGAAATAAATACGGAAGGAATAAATTATTTAATACATATATTCAGATGGTTCTTTAATGAACGCAAACGAATTACAAGAATGAGTTCTTAAGAGTAATTTGAGCCATACAATTTATCATTCTCGTAATACATTTATGAATAAACATCTACATACCGACAACAAGTACTAATGAATACATGAAATGTTCATAAAAAAAAAAACAAATAAAAGAGACTATCAATACTATCATTTGTAATAGACATCGCCGACAAAGATGTAACTCTCTGCGAATGGCTCAAGGGTGTGAATCTTCATAGTTACTACTAACTGTAAGACAGTCCGTAGCTTACATAACTCATCAAACCGTCATGATCGAAGAGCTTGTCAGCAACCATCAATTTCGAATAATTTAATGGAATGTGCGTTTGTGTGACCCCTTGAAGTTGATCAGCAGTGATTCCTTCTTCGTCCTGAATTTTATCCATAACATTCTCAGTTGTATTTGAAGATGCGACTCCCAAGGTGACCATCTTTTCTGTAGATGTACTGATGAAAATTTGCATTCCTCCCCGAAGTCTCAGAACCAGATGAAGTGTGGATTCTTTTTGAATGTTGTAATCAGAGAGTGTCCTCCCATCTTCGAGCTGCTTTCCTGCAAAGATTAATCGTTGCTGATCTGGAGGTATTCCCTCTTTGTCCTGGATCTTAGCTTTGACATTCTCTATTGTGTCAGAAGCTTCGACTTCCAGGGTGATGGTTTTTCCTGTGAGAGTCTTGACGAAGATTTGCATTCCTCCTCGAAGTCTTAGAACCAGATGAAGGGTGGATTCTTTTTGAATGTTATAATCTGACAGTGTCCTCCCATCTTCGAGCTGCTTTCCTGCAAAGATTAATCGTTGCTGGTCTGGAGGAATTCCTTCTTTGTCTTGGATCTTAGCTTTGACATTCTCTATTGTGTCTGAGGCTTCCACTTCTAGGGTGATAGTTTTCCCTGTGAGAGTCTTCACGAAGATTTGCATTCCTCCTCGAAGTCTCAAAACCAGATGAAGTGTGGATTCTTTTTGAATGTTGTAATCAGAGAGTGTCCTTCCATCTTCAAGTTGTTTCCCAGCAAAGATTAATCGTTGCTGATGAGGGGGAATTCCCTCTTTGTCCTGGATCTTTGCCTTTACATTTTCAATTGTGTCAGAAGCTTCGACTTCCAGAGTGATGGTTTTCCCTGTGAGTGTCTTGACAAAGATTTGCATTCCTCCTCGAAGTCTCAGCACAAGGTGAAGTGTTGATTCTTTTTGAATATTATAATCTGAGAGTGTTGAGTGTCCTTCCATCTTCGAGCTGCTTCCCTGCAAAGATTAATCGTTGCTGGTCTGGAGGGATTCCCTCTTTGTCCTGGATCTTTGCCTTTACATTTTCAATTGTGTCAGAAGCTTCGACTTCCAGGGTGATGGTTTTTCCTGTGAGAGTCTTGACGAAGATTTGCATTCCTCCTCGAAGTCTTAGAACCAGATGAAGTGTGGATTCTTTTTGAATGTTATAATCTGACAGTGTCCTTCCATCTTCGAGCTGCTTCCCTGCAAAGATTAATCGTTGCTGGTCTGGAGGGATTCCCTCTTTGTCCTGGATCTTCGCCTTTACATTTTCAATTGTGTCAGAAGCTTCGACTTCCAGGGTGATGGTTTTTCCTGTGAGAGTCTTGACGAAGATTTGCATTCCTCCTCGAAGTCTCAGCACAAGGTGAAGTGTTGATTCTTTTTGAATATTATAATCTGAAAGTGTCCTTCCATCTTCCAGCTGCTTTCCAGCAAAGATTAATCGTTGCTGATCAGGAGGAATTCCTTCTTTATCTTGGATCTTAGCTTTGACATTCTCTATCGTATCTGAAGCTTCGACTTCCAGGGTGATGGTTTTCCCTGTGAGTGTCTTGACAAAGATTTGCATTCCTCCTCG